CGGTGCGAAGAGGATAGCGAGGAACGGAACAAACCAGAGGAGCTCCAGTATGAAATTCATCTCTGCTTATTACTTGCTGCCTCTCTTTCCTGCACTGGTCTTCAGCGCTAGGTGAGTACCGAGAGCTATTTTGCTTAGAGTTTTCCTGGCTTTTTTGCTGTTTGCTTTTTTAGATTCAGTGCTCTCAAGAGAAATAACACAGATTTCAGCTTTTACTGGGGTAGTAAGTTTAGAGTAGGTATCTTCTCTGATTCTTCTCGCTCCCCCTCCCAATCCTCTGAAAGATACCGAGTCTTGTCTTGGTCTTTTCTAGGCGTTTTTTATGATGTAAAAGAGCTGCTCCTGTATAAGTTGACCCACAGCTCATGTGATGGAGCAAGACAGTAACAAATACAAGCTTTATACATACAGCAGTAACAGCAGATAGACTCTGCTTCACTGGAAATAAGGAAGCTGAACAGCTGAAACTGAGAACATGCTAACGTTTTCCCTTATACAGCACAAAAAATAAACACTTGAACAATCTCATCTCAATTTAGGTTTCTGTATCTGAGCATAGACCTAGGGCTTACCTTTTTTTACCATGACATGCAGGTGAGATGTTGCAGCGTTATCTCAATGCCAGGAAACGTGTTAAAAAGTTGCTGCAATCTAGAAGCGTTCTTTTCTGTGCAAGTATAATAAATCACTGAGGAAAATATGAACAAAATCTATTGCAGCTTAAAAACAAAACTTGTTCTGACCATGCAGTGTTCTGATAAGATAATGCGTACTGCTCAGTTGCTCGGAGATAGTGTATTTTCCATGCTGTAGACATAACATGTTCAGCAAAGAAAAGATAAAGCTGAGACAGTCTATCCCGTTGTCTTGATGTACACAGATGGAAAGTTAATGCTGGGTACACCACAGATCTGTTATAATGAGACTGCTGTCAGTTCAGGCTTCTAGTTCATTATCAGAAAATCAAGCCCAAATTTTGACTGTGTTTTTTCTCTGCTGTGTTAGAAGTTTCTAGGGTACTTATTGCTAAGTCCATAAAGCATGTTATCATAGGATATATGCATGTATATTTATCAGCGAAATGTGCCTTTGCCCTTATTCTTGGTCTCTTCCTGTAAAATCAGCATCGAAGCAGCTTTTTGCAGAAGCACAGCATGTTTTAAACCTTAGTTGTTCACTGAGACAAAAAAAAAAAGGCAAAAAAAAAGTGTATGCCTGCTAAGTACTCAAAGTCAGGTACAGCAGGAGCACATCTCTCTACATGCTCAGACACAGGCAAATAACTGGGAAAATCTCTGAGTGGGAAAAGGCCCGAATGCAGGGAAAAATCAGGAATATCAAAATGCCTCAATTACTTTACTCCTTTGGAGGGGGTTGTTATTGGCGAGGGAGGGGTACTTTTTTTTTCTTTTGGTAACACTTCTGATTCAGGGACTCTACAGTGCCAGTCCATACGAACCACTCCGATGCTCTTTGAAATACTAAACTCAGAGGAAAATTGTAATATATTGTGATTCGATAATTATCCCTTCTGATTTAATAAGCAGTCTAAGGAAACGTTTACTAGCTGTCAAGTGTGAAACTTCTTGTCAATTCGGATTAATAATTTTACCCTCGCTTAAGAGTGATACATTCTTTACCAAATTATGCCAGAGTTAAAAAGGGGAGAAAGCACCAAGTCAGCTTTTGCAGATGCAGGTTTGTATCTTGTATGAGCTTGTGCAGATTAAACTGTAGTGAAAAGAGATGTGGAAAACTCTTCTAAATTTTCATATTTTATTGTTTTTTATGAAGCGTCTTACAAACTACTTGAACATTCAGGGGACTAAACTGGGACAAGGTATCTAGTGTAAAGCCCTAAAAGCAGGTCCCTCATCTTCTTGAGAAAATACCACCTGTATGAAAAATGAACTGTAGCTCATTCTTGATAATTGTAAAGAAAAAAAAAATCAAGTTCCTCCCCGCCTTTCAAAAAATAGTTGGAAAGAATATGAAGAAGTTGAAGTTGGCATGTGAATACTAATTATGAACAGTATGACTCTGAGGAGTGGATATACTTTCATAAGAGTATAATTTTGTGGCACACAGTGATTTATGTTCTTTGCAATTGAGGGATGAAAATGATCAATGTGAGAGAAATTCCAGTTAAAATTCCACCCAAGTACAGTATGTGTTGCAAAGTGGAGTTTTGCTTTTGGTACCAGATTGGTCATCCTGTTAAAAAGGAGACTGAAACTCTACGGTAGAGTTGGAGATTTATAAAAGTCTTGGACTACTCTGTTCAGCATTTGCTTTCAGTCCCTTGATTTTTAACTGGCTGTGTAGAACATAGAGTAATTTTTCAACAGCGCATGATGGAAGTTTTAAAAAATGATACAGTGCTATCGATATGCCATCTACTGGAAGGAGATTATGCTTTAATCTCCTACAGCAGAAGGCAATTCTGTCTGTGGCAGTTAGTATTTCTTGTAAACATATGGTTAATTCATTGGTTGGACCCAAACAGAGTGGGCTTGCAGGAGCAGTTGTGTTTGCGAAAAGCAGGGTCTAATATCCTGCTGTGTGAAATTGCTTAGCTAATGTAAAGCATCAATCTTGCAGGACAGAAAGTTTTCCATCATGAGGACTTTTTTTTTTTAAGTTTGTACAGAAGCACAGTATCTCCATTTCATATATTGGTGCTGAAATCAGTGAGCACAGCACTTGCTGCAGCTGCTGCTTTTTGTTCCTTGTTATGTGGTGATGTCATCCTTGCATCATGTCATGGTGATTAGTTTTGGAAGACCTCAGCATGTCTCCAAGCCTAACTGTAAACAAATATGAATTGATGAGTTCAACTATGTTAACACAGCATGGTGAGTTTCCTTATTTTATAATCTTGTTAAAAAGAGGAAAATACATAGCTATCACTTTTAAGAGTGCATTCATTATTTTCTGGTTTTCAGAACTGTATGCAGCTAACTTCTCAGCGTGGTCTAAAACCATACGCATGAACCAAATGCCTATCAAATTACAGAAAATTCATGTTTTTGAAATGAACTATCTTTTCCGTATTACCTAAACTCGGTTTTGGTGCGGCTTTGAGAGACAATGATTACTCTTAATCATGTTTCCAGTTGGTTGTAGTGCCAAAGAGGTAACAAGATTGAGATGTATTTGCCTGTCTCAGTTAACTACGTATGTTTTGATGGAAGAAGTAAAAATTACTGCTCTAAAATCAGTCTCATAAACACTTAAGTGGAACTAATTTTTGAAGGTGAATTTAACTTGGTAAAACTATTCCAAAGTTTGTGTTTTCCTGCCCACTTTTATATTTCCTTGGACATCTTGGTTTTGGCAGATCTAATATGATGGTTGTGTACATGTTACTTTTTTCATACTGCTGCTGAAAGCAGCACAGTTTTTTCATACAACTTCAGAAATGAATCCTACTGTCCTGAGTGCTCAGTGAGTGCACGTAGTGTATAATAGGCTCAGGGCCTGATTCTGCAGCTACCTGCATGCTTTTGTGGTCCCAGACCCCTAAACATTCTGACTGGAAAACTATTTGTAGAAGGGAATGCTTGCATGAAGTCAGTGATTGGCGTCAGTAACTTAAGACCTGTGGTCCAGGTTACCTTGTCTAATCACACTTGCCTGCTTTTAGCTAAAGGGAGAGTTTTCTGAATATTACTTCAACATTACTATTGAACGGCTGGATACTTTAATCTCTGCTCAGTGACAATTTTTTTTGTCTAAATGACAAAAATTTGACTCCTTAGAAGAAGCTTGATGTGAAAAAAAACTTTCCTTTTTTTCTATGACAGCTAATTCCTTTCTCTCCACACATGAAATGTGACCAAGATGCCAAGACATTGAATAATTTGATTGAAGTAGAATGCTTTTATAGCTGAGAACAGGACCATAAACCCAACAAGATGCACTTTAATAACGATAATATTACTACTACAGCAACTCATTAAATGGATATACAAACAACAGGGCTGTAAAAGGCAGAACTTACATATTTTAATGGCAGAGAAATGGATGGTGGTCATTTTTCTATAGTGCAGTTTACTGGCAATCTTACTGCTCTGATGTTACAAAGCAATCTGTAATTCATTGGCTTCAGAAGAATGGCTCCTCTGCGTTTTATAGCAGGATAAAAGTAGTGTGCTCATTTCTGGTACGTGGATGTTGCTTAATGAAGGTATGGGTTTTGAAGTGGCGTATGTCCATTGTTGGAAGTGATAGAAATATAATTAATTCACTTACCTTCTTAAACATGAGAACCTGACTTAAATGTTTACTTTGTCCCTGGACGTACTTTCAAGGTCGACTATTTTCTTTGTTTGTTGGGTTTGGTTATTATTTCTTAAGGAATATGAAAACACTAAGATCTTTCCATCCTGTCAGAAAAAGATGTGTGAAGGACTCAGTCTGAGACTCAAGGAAAGATAAAGGGGAACATCTTTGACATTATTGTACTCGCGGTGGGGGGAAATGTTGGAAGTACTTGTTTCTAGTTCTTAAGCACTTTCCCATCTTAGAAGCAGTATTTGGGCTATAATGATGTTGAAAGTAACTGTTTTTCATTTAGACTGATAGGACAGTGGAGGAACCCTGCCCCTTCCTAGATTTCGAGGTGGAAGAACAAGGCTCACTGTGTGCTTATACCCTTGGCTGTAGCCACACCATTGTTACATGCTCCAGTGGGTAG